TTAAAAAGGATGGCTTTGAGCTTTTATGTTTGCCAGGAGAGGAGACCTTTTTGATCTGAAGAGGGGGAACTTTCCCACAATCTGTTTTCGTCATTTCTTGAGGAGGTGTTTCATTTACGTGTTCCACTTCAACTTCTACCTGTAAAGTGGACTTTTCCTCAAACGACAAATCAGCCTTGTTTTCGGAAGCCTTCTCATTATTGTCCAAGCTTTTACTCTCTTCGGGGGCCGAGTTATCCAGTTCCGATTTTTTATCCGCCCCCTTTAAACTCTTGTTGACACTGGCGTCACATAAAGTCGACTGATCCTCTTCGCTCACAGTCTTCTCTGTTACTTTCACAGTGGTTTCTGCAACCTGAGTCTGACTTCCTCCTTTCTCTAATGTTAAAGTCCAGACAAATTTTCTCAGTTTCTTCTTTCGAGTGGAGTTCTTCCCACTGGCGTTCTGTGCATCATATTTTGGGTTTCTTATCTTTTTAAACTTTAAACTTGGGACCCTCGTTCCCTCGTTTTTCAAAGGCAAGCTGTCACTGGATTGTACAGCTAAATTATCAGTCTCTGTGGATGATCGACCATGGTTTTCCGGAATCGTAACATCCTTATTCAGCCTCTTGCTTTGTCTCCGTCTGTCACTTCTCGCTGACGGCTTGGCCTCCACTGTTTGAGAAGCTTCAGGCTGTGACTCTGCCAGAACGGCATCACTTTTACTCAGACTTTCTGGTTCAGCTGCACTGTCTGAGACTTTTTTGGAGAGTGGGTTAGAGACTCTGTTGCTCCTGCGAACCGTGAGTTGATTAACTTCAGAACTTTGCTCTGTCACAATTTCCTTATGCTTTAATTTCTTTGCATTTGTTTTTGGCTCTACAGTCCCAGTCTCCTCAACAGTGTCAAATTGGTCGGCCGATTTTCTCTCTTTTAATTTTTGGTCTCCAACCACAACTTTGGCGCTAGTCTGGCAGACTGGCTCTGTCTTTGAAGCAGATCTCCCACGCCTTCTTGCAGGTACTGTCCCCCCTCCCTTATCTTCTGTGCCATGTTTATCCTCATGTGGTTCAGCTTTTAATTTGACATGAGCACTTGAAATCTGGTCGCCCTGAATGTCCTTGGCTTTAGGCGGATCCTGAATTCCTTTTATCTTCAACTTCTTCACAGATTTTCTATTAGGCTCCTTTACGGTTTTCATTTTCTTTTTGGCCACCAACTTTATAGTAATCCTTGGTGCTGCTGATGAGGCTCCGCTTTTAGTGGACTGTCGATCCATAGTGTTTTTTCCTTTCGAACCTTTCCTGCAGTCCTTTGCGGGCTCTGCTTCAGGAGATAAGCCGTGTATTTCCTCCGAAGATTTTACATCTTTCACAGGATCAGGTTGGGTAATAGCTGCCTCCACTGCTGGCGTTTTAAGCGGTAACTTCTCACTTTGTCTTTTAGATTTTGTGTTGACAGCTTCACCTACAAAACAAAAAATATGAAATATTACAAAACCCATGGCCCCTCCACTGAATACAAAACTGGGATAGAAAACAACCCTTTTTTATTTTGGACATGCTTAATTGAAACTTTAGCGTATGAACATAAATATGTGGAACCGTAATAATTTGCCTTTACCTTTGGAAGGGTTTTGTCTGGACCATACAGGTCCTTTGGAGCTTTTTCTCTCAGCTTCAAATCCTCTGAAGTCATCTCCCTTGAAAAAATAAAAACACGCAAATGAACACCTGAAACGACAGACAATAACACTACTCTGCTGGAGGCTGCCGAACTATCAGCAAAAACAATGACTAAAATGGTAAGTTTATAGCATTTATTTTGAATTTCAGAGTTTGCTGTTAATTACATCCCCTGCAAAGACTAGGTAGATGAAGCAACACTGAACATTTCTCTGAATGATTCATGTTCATCATATTGATGTTTTTATCAATACACCTAACGTTACAATGTATGTTTAACTTAGCTTATGTACAGCTATGTCAAATAAAAAAAAAAAAAAAAAGGTTATTTACTTAAAACTTTAAAGCAATACTATCAATCACAGACAATGGACAACTGTTTTCATTTTCTCCACATTCAAACCAAATCTTTTCATTCATCTCATCCGAGTTGGAATTCATTAAATATTAATAGAGCCTGCATTAGTAATAACCTAATATGCACCTAGCTGGGTTTTTTTTTGGGGGGGAGAGAAACTCTTCCTGAACTTTTCATGGTGCTGTTACATGTACATAAGACATGCAAGCCCAGAACTCTGCAATCTTTGTATGAATCACACTTGAGCAGTAAGGACGAACACCTACACTACCTTCAAACAACTGCAGGGACAGGTGGGTCTGCAATTACGATTCCCTCCAAGTACTGTACATCCTACTCACGCTTACAGCTGTGACCTACAAGCCTATAAACAGCCCCACTCTTATGAATCGCGATCAGACATTAACGACTGCATGTGTACTAGTAGAGAGCTTTTTTTTTTTTTTTTTTCAGACAACAAGGGTGCAACTGGCTTTGGCACACTTCTGCACCACCATTTAAACATGTCGTGCTTGGTAACATAAGCTAGCAGTTAGCCGAAAGCATTTAAGCTCACTTCTGTCTGCACAAAGGCTAACTTACCTAGCTACAAAATAAAACTTAATTATCTGAGTGTTAATATCGCGGTTACCTTGTGCAGACGAGTAAGGCCCTGCAACATCCGCGTCTGCTGTCCTATTTAAACTAGTTAAGCAGACAACTCTACCCGCATCTGGACAGCGTATGAAAACACAAGTGTTAGCTAACAGTTAGCCGCTGTACAGGATACAGGGGCGCTAGCCTTCCCGTTCTTTGTGTTCGCTATTAGCTAGCTGCTACTCTGGCCCGATAACGAGCGGGCCATACATGAAATAATTACGATCCCTGTTTACAAATCGGCGCACACACTTCACTGGCTTTTTAAAAAGATCTTCTACTCGTGTTTTCACCCGCTAATATTTTTTATCCCACAAGATAGCGATTGTGTGAGCATTGTTGGTGTGAGTTGAAGTGCTCTGCTGCTTTGTTTGAAGTGGTATTTTGTGTTACGACTGTTCATTAAATGTCAAGGAAAAGCTGCACTGTGCTAACCATTAGTTAGCATGTTAACGTTAGCTCACCAAGCGTGAAGCTAACGTTAACATTAGCCTAGCGAAAGGGATGTTGACATTTCTCCATGACACTAAACCAGTCACACTGCTGTGGACAGCACTCATTCTTGCACATTTAACGATCAGACAAAATGTGAGAAGATGAAATAAAGATACTAACTCCTGGGTCGGTTTGGGACCTCACCTCTTCACTCCCACTAGAGCTGTATCCAGCCTGGCCAAGGATCTTGTGGCTCGCCTCTATCCCAAGTAAGCGCAAGTGAGACTGGTCTTCGTTTAACGATAGGACCAGGTTTGCGGGCCTTGGCCCTCCGTTAGTCACATCATCAGCTTCTAAGCCTGACCGTCCGAGTTGCCATCGCTTCTCGGAGCGCAAACGACTGCGTGACGACCAAGGCCGACCGGGGAAACGACCTCTGGCCGTAGCGGTTCCACCTTGGCCTCCTACGGCAGCCGCGGTTGCTGATCCGCATCCCGCTGCCGCCATCATTGCTTCAACAACAACACACACCGACGGCTAGCAGTTCGAGGAGAGAGAGAGACAAGAGGGAAGGCGCGAGATGGGAGGGGGGAGCCGCAATGCTGCAAGGGAAAGTGAGTTTTTTTTTAGTGAGGCTCCAGAGAGGAGATTGGGTCGACCTCTGGTGGTGATTGTACGTCAAATCTCCATTCAGAAATGTCTGTGCTGTACATATTGCATCACTGGCTGTTACTGGCCCTTAGTTATAAACATATGAGTCCAACTTTATTGGTTACATGAATCTTAATTCTTCTTATTATTATATATTCTAATGTATTATTTTATTATATTATAATATCTAACTCACTGGTCATCTTTATTTATGTCTCGGTGTATACAAGGCTGTCTTATATGCTGTTTAAAAAATATTCTTAAAGAGCATACATACTACTTTCCAGGCATGTATCATAATACATAGGTAATAACATACATAGTAATTCATTCTCTAAAACTGTTTCAACAAAACATTTCTTCGACAAGATTTATATAATTCTGTTCGACAGTTAACAATAATATTAGGGGGAAAGGTGAGCAGGGAAACGATTATTTAAAATCGCTTCCATGACAATAAACTGGAAAAAGAAGGTGGCTCTGAAATGACAGTTCAGTAATAAAAGTGACAACGTATGGTAAAGAAGGCTTAATTAATCAAATAATACATTTACATAACATAATTACCATCTGACAGAAGGAATGGAGTGTAAAGGCAGATTATAAAGACACTACAGTACAGATAAAGTGTATTACATCAATGCGTTTGTGCCCTGGCCCCACAGCTCTACACATTGCAATACAGCAGATGGCAGTATGCATATTTATTGTCACCAGAAAAAGCTCAACTCAACTTTATTTATATAGCACATTTCATACAAACAGGCAGCCCAAAGTGAACCCCATAAATAAAACCGCGCCAGGCAAAAACAATGAATGAATACAATAAAAACAAGCTGATGACAAAGAAGAGGAAAAAGCAGAAATCAATGGAGCAATGGAATATAATTAATTCACGGTCATAGTGAAGATTGATTTTAAGTTTCAGCCACGTGAAAGACGGAAATAAATGCTGCAGAATAAATAGTTTAATGGAAAGTATATGATTGTCTTCTTATCAGCCAAGTGCGAACAGAAATACTTTAAAAACTTTTCAACGGAAAAAAAAAAGCTACAGTGGCTGATTATTTTGATTTAATATACGTACACATTTGTGAACAGAGTCAAGGTGTCTACAGGACGGAAGCTGAGTATTTAAAGCTTGTTAAAGATAAAGACAAACCACACTGTGAACGAGGCGAACAAGGGGAAGAAGGACAACTGTACTCTTACTGTAGGTGGCGCTGTGCAGTGCAGGTGAGCGTGCGCCTACCATAACAAACAAAGAAGAAAGACGAAGAAGAGTGCGTTTCAGAAGAAGAAGAAGGAGGAAGTGTTCGAGGTTGTTTTTTTTTTTCTATTTGGTTATATTTGTGACCATTCTCTGACTTTTTGGCCTTAGAAATATCAGGTAAATTATCACATTAATGTTCAGTATACTAACGGTAATGTCTTAGAAATATTTTAAAACGACACCGCCCAGAATCTGGAGACGGATGTAGCGTTAAGTTACTGATGTTAGAAGTCGAACAACCTAATGTTACACCGCTAAGCTACCGAAATGCTAATAGTTAGCCTGTGGTCAATTCCGAGTCACCTGACAATGCAAACCAGGCCAGCACTAAAAGGCTGCTTTATTGCTCGGATCTTATACAAACTACACAAGTTTGTTACAAAAGTGTCTTTGGGTTGCTGTCTCGAGCTTGTTCCGCTCTGTAACTTTTTGTTTGTTTGTTTGTTTGTTTGTTTGTTTTGTAGCAAGAGCCACGACAAATCACGATGAACCTGGAGCGGCTGCCCAATGAGGAAAAACTCAGCCTATGCAGAAAATATTATTTAGGTGAGACTACCTAATAACGACGACAAGTAGCGATATAACGTATTAAATATTCAATATTACCTTCTCTCCTTTGGTCTGTAAATTCTGGGTACATGCAAGTAGTGTTAACACCTGTCTCCATAATGCCCATTGTAATGATCTGATGTACACTCTTTAGGTGAGATGGAGGATAGGTTACCATTATATTGCCAGTGACTGGAACCCTTTTTTTTTTTTTTTTTTTAAAGTAAAGCATGAGCAAATTAATTCAGTAATATTGTCATTGATGATGTTTTTTCCATCTTTTTTCTCAGGTGGATTTGCATTTCTCCCATTCCTGTGGCTGGTAAATGTTGTTTGGTTTTTTCGGGAGGCCTTCGTAAAGCCAGCCTACACTGAGCAGCTTCAGATAAAAACTTGTAAGTGTAAGAACTGGCAGACGTTTAGAAACCATTGCAGCACTTGTTTAATTTGAATACATATATATATAAATTATGCATTTTCTTTTAAGAAAACACCAAAAACCATTTGACTTAATGTGTGAAACATTACCTCTAAGCCTATAAAGTACATATTTCTGGCTAGCTGACATTAACAGACATTTACTGAACATGTGGTCAGTATTTTCTGTTTGAAAAACATTCACATGTCCTACTTGATAAAACACTATCAAACAGCATATTTGCAATTGTGTGAGCTTTATTTTTGAAAGAAAGATTTTTGCAAAGCTAGAGCATTATATGATATGTCTGTCTGTGTGACCATTGTTTAAATATTAAGTAATTATATCTTCTGTGTTTTCCTTCTAGATGTGAAGCGGTCAGCTCTAGGGTTGCTGTTATGGGTAGCAGTACTGACCACATGGATTACTATTTTCCAGCACTTCAGAGCAGAGTGGGGGGAGGTGGGGGATTACCTCTCCTTTACAATTCCACTGGGCATTCCTTGAGACATTTTTGGTGACAGGTCTAAATAACTGTTGATCCACTATAATGGACCAAAGAATTTTCCCTCATTAACTACAGTGAAAGACTTTGGTGATTTTTCTTGTCTCTGGAACTAAATTCAATTGAATAAAGTTAAGAGTACTTCTTTATGTCCCTTTAAAAGGTAAAAAAGCTGTAGGATTTAAAGATTCATGTTTTTTTACACTTGCTAAGGCATTTCAGAAAGTTCTTTGGTTTTAGATTAGGATAATTAATCTTGTATAGCAGACAATGTTAACTGTCATGGCAGTATCTAACAGTATGTAATGATGAAGCTGGATGTGCATTCAGGATTTTTTTTTTTCTTGATTTAAAGTTTGTTTCTGTGTAATTGTGCCACCAAAACTATTTTTACTTGTGTATGACTGACTAATAAAAACATATCCATAATGCTTCCAAGTTACAATGTTTTTACTCTATGTACTGTATCTCCCGTTGAAAGTCAGAATGCCATACTTGTGATGGAATATCATTATCCCTCAAGGATCTATGAAACGGTACAGACTTTTTGTTTGGTGATGCATCGGTGAGCTATTTTCTCTATTTATACTCCTAATGTTTTGCATTGTTACCAAAGACTCCTAAAGTCTGGAATATGACTGGTGCCTGTTGTGAAACCCAATAACTTAATCCCTCCAAATGTTCCCACTTCCCCATCATCCTATATGAGTCATAACATAATCGGGGGCCATTTTTAGTCACTCCAGTCAAAGCTTAAGTGACAGGTTCTACATTACTAACAGGGAGAACATGCACCTGCCATATAAACCGCTGACTTCACTAGGGACTGCCAAGAACAAGACAGGAGTATCGGCACGATCAGTACTTTTTATGACGGGGGGAGTCACTTAATAAAAGAGATTGATGAGGAGTAAATTGTAAAGAATCCTTTTATGGACATAGTACATTGTCTCCAAGTGTGTGGTATTTTAAGTGTGTGGTATAATGAGTGAAGTGGAAATTAACAAAGCGCATGTACTCAAGTACTGAAAGTACAGTTTTGAAGCACATCCATTTCATGACTTTACATTTCAGAAACAAATATTACAAATTTTATATCTTACCTATATTTATTTGACAGCTAGTTAGGTTACTTTGCTGATAAACATTTTATCCACAAAGCCTTGCCAACTAGTTAAATTAGCTCCACCTAGGCCAACTTTAAAACGCTATTTAGACATTAATACATCAGTAATAAGAATACACAATAATAACACATGACCACATTTCCATTGAGTACTTTTGATACTACTTTAATACTCCTTGCTGATAAGGTTCCTGTATACTTACATATATTATATATAATTATATATATATTACATATTTAATGCGGGACTTTTACTTGTAACGTAGTATTTTAACATTAAAGTACTGCTCTTTTTACTCAAGTAACTCATCGGATCTTTCACCACTGTGAGCGTGAGTGATGGAGGGGTTGGAGGACGCACGTGCTCTGGCATGTGTTTGGGACGTCCCTGCTGTCACTGTCTGTCCGGCATCAGCTCACGAGGGTCAACAACATCGTCTTTTGAACTTATTTTTGGACCCTTTCCTTGACAACCGACCTTAAGCATACACTTCGTAACATGTGTCATAACGTGAACAGTGTGTTCGCACCGGTGCCGTCAACCCCTCAGAATAAACTGTTGTGCGCTTCAATATTGGTTAATGAACACCTTAATTACCAATAAGCCCGCAACAGCTGCGCGCCCCCCCCCCAAACAATACACTCTTATCCTATATGGGCCCGCCTGAGCACCCAAGGGTACGCATTAGGCCAGAACATAACAGAAGCAAGGTGCCCCACGATGAATTCCCAACTCATTATGCAACTCCAGTATAAAACACACACACACCGTAACACTCAGTCACGTCAGGCACCCAGAGGAGATCGGAGACAGACAGACGGGCGCACCAGCTCATCGCACTTGTACCTCATTTAGGACTTCACGCAAGCGGTTGACCAGGGGCTGTCCTTTCCCCGTTTGCATATTTGGTCAGGGAATTTAAGAAGAGGTAAGTTGTGGCCAGTGTTGTAGTCTCATATGCTGTGTAGTCTCAGCTGCTCTCAAGTCAGCTCTCTTTTAAAAAACAACCTTTTCTGCTCATTAGAAATGGACTTCATCCTGCCACCCACTCTGCCAGCTGGTGGTATCCCATGGGAGAAGGTTTTGCCACCTCTTATTCCTCGGCTGAATGGGACTTATGGACAATATAAGTGGTCTCCTAAGTTACTAATGCCAGAGACTGAGAACAACAGCTCTGCAGAGGTAGGTTGTTTTAACTTACTGTAAGTAAGTAAGTAAGATTTATTTTATGTGTTTTGTTTCGGTAGAACTGCATGGAAATACATTCAGTGATAACAAACTGCAAACTACTTAAATTTTTTTTCCTTTGTTTTCTTAAACAAGTTAAATGGTAACTTGTTTAATAGGCAAAAGTCCCCTAATTTTACACTTGAAATATATTTTGACAAAACTTTCAACCGCATCTTAAAGTATTCAGCAGATGAAAACCCTGAGATGCAGTTGAAAGCCCCAAAAAAAAAAAGCTAGTAAGAAGAATAAAACTACTGTTCTCAAATATTGTTAAGGGTATGGTTCATTTTTAATAATACCCAGTATTTCCACTCATGTTGCTAGGTGAACTGTGATGACAGCGGTTTTACAGTTCAAGTGGATGTAAAGGACTTCAACCCAGAGGACCTAATGGTCAAGGTGATCGGTGACTTTGTTGAAGTGCAAGGAAAGCATGAAGAGAAAAAGGTTGGTGTTCTGGCAGGAACATTGCTGCATCATCTGGTTTATTTACAATATCTGTGATTTGTGTTGTTCTCTAAACTTGTATTCATCTCTATGTTTTGTTATTAGGATGGTTCGGGGTTTACAACGCGGCAGTTTAACCGGCGCTACAGAATCCCAAAGGGCGTGGACACCATGGCTTTGGAGTCAGCGGTCTCTCCAGATGGCATCCTTGTCATATCTGCACCGATGCTGCAAACCGAGAACTCCAGAATCCTGACCTGATCGCATTAATACCAAACACTCTAATCTCTGCCATCTTCACCATGTATGACAAAAAAACAAATGCAACACAAGCCTTTATGAACACACACAGGCATAAACAGAAATAACTTTAGGCTCCTCCAGTCACAGCAACACTCAGCATGTGCCAAGACACTCTGTTCCTGGCACTGTTTTAATATTCCCTGCTCTCTGAGGTTTGTATATACTGCCCTACTGTTACTCAGCAATCTTATATAATGTTTCAAGGAACCAGTCTTTGTAAATATTCTGTGTTCACAGGTCTGCTTTTTTTGTGCAACTTTTGTAAAATGCACTGTTTTGTGATTGTGATTAATGATGCACACATACATATCGCCAAACTCTTTAATGTGGAAATATTTCTTTCAAAAATAAACTTTATTTCTTTATAAAATAAAAAAAGTGACTACATCAAGTGCCTCTTGTGAATGTTTAAGTAACTTGTTGCTCATCCGCAAATTCATTCAACATCGAGTCCACTTCCCTAAAAGGAAAAATACAGTAGATTATTCTTCTGGAATTGGGGGTGCTATGTTTAGATGAATTTAATAACAATATAAAAGCTATATTCTAAAGGATTTTAAGGTTAATAGCCTTCTATGAACAACATTATTTTAAATAAATAAATAAATTTTACTAGCTGAGCAATTTAATTTAGAGGTTATTATTTTACCTGATCTGCTCCTTTACCCATGTTCTCTGTTTGCGAAGAACTTGTAATAGAGGGTCATCTTCAAACTCTTTTTCATCTGAATCTGAAAAGAAAATATAAAATAATAATACTGAAGGTACAATGAGCAGCAAAAGAGAGGGTTGATAATGGAATATTATCCGCATGTACATATAGAGGACCAGCCTATAAGTTAATGTTTTATTATTTAAACTCCCAAAAGCAGCCTTTAATCGTTTACTACAGCAAAATTCAACACGGATCACAAATGTTACCAGCTCTGCATACAAACAACATGCACAGAAAAAGATTGGAAGTTCGAAAGGTTTTGACCTGACGGGTTTTGGAATGTTAGGAGTGGAAACTATTCATATATTCTCCACAATTAACTCCAGGGTAAAGGTTGGTGCTCCTTGCTGCCATGAGCTCACCTTCAGCCTCTTGCAGCAGCTGTGAAATGACCTCCATAGAGTTCTGGGCGCCGTACGGAGGAACTGAGGATTGTGAAGGTGCAGAGGCTTCGCAAGGAAGAGAACCCAACGGGACAGGGGTCCTTAGTGCAGGAGATGAATCCGCCGTAGGGAACAATACCTCTGAAACTACCTGCGAAGCCCCAATGATAACACCCTACGGGTTAATGCAGCTTTTAATTACCATAATGACATAGCAGCTTGACATCTGATGATGATATGACATCCAAAAGTGATGGCAGCACCATTCGAGATAAGTGGTAAAAGGAGTATATTTAAAGATTTTTGTGTAATAATCAAACTACACAGAGAGAATAAAATAACTTGAGAACTGGTGGAGTGTGTAAAAACATTTGCAGCTTGTGCATGTGCTGACCTGTCCTAAGGCACTGTGGATCGGAGAAGGTCCTAGTGCATAATCACCAGTACATCTCTCACTGGAAAACGCCTGGTTTGCCTCCCGTTGCTGCTGCTCTGCCCACGGCACGACCTTTTGGGGAACTCTTTGATGTGAAGAACTCCTGTTTGTAGAGCCAGTGGCATCAGCATGTTCCCTATCGACAGCATATCTGCATAAAGATATAGATATTAATATTAAGCATTCAGACTGAATTTTGTATACCGTGTGCATGTTTCCATACTTGACCTTGATTTCTTCTGCTTTCTAAAGGACATCACTGTCTTTTTCTCATTCTTCTCTGACTCTTTTGTCTGGGCTTTCTCTTTCTTGCTCCTCTCAGGTCTTTTGTGGTGACTAGGCCCCTCTCCAGATGAAACAGGTGGTGGGGATGGCACATGTTCGCAAATAGGCTCATCAGTGAAGGTATTCGTTGAGTTCCCAGAAACTTGCGTATTTTTATGGACAACTTTGGTCCGAGACGTGTCAATACTTTGTGAAATTTTTTGTTGCGAGCTAGCATGAGATGACTGGATGGGACAGGGCAAGACATCACAGAGTAAATGCATGTGGGCGGGAACATGGGCAATAGTCTGGGGTTGAGAGACTGCAGAGCCAGAGATAGCAAAGGTAGGGAAGGCAGGTGGACCTGAAGCTGGGGGACATGATGCGTGGGCTTCTTTGGTGTCTGGCTGGGGAGCGGCGACGTGTGGAAGTGTAGCGTTTTGTGAGAATTCAGGAGGTTGAGAACAATGCTGTTGCTGTAGATGATGCCAGAAAGAGGATAATGAAATGATTCTGTACACATGTACATTTTAAACCAAAAATATGGGGTACTTCATACACTATGTCTCTGACCTTGTAAGCCTGTCCACTGGCTGAGGGATGGCTTAAGTTGGGGGCTTGCCAGCTAAATGTGGGACCATGAAGTCCGGGTTGTTGCAAGGACTGGGGCCACTCTCTGGCCTGCTCCATCTTTCTCCTAAGACGCCACTGGAACAAGATGTCCTCTTCTGGGCGTGTGGGGGGCACCAGAGAAGGAATGGCATAAGACTTTTGGGAGGACGCAGCTTGAACTAAGTCTGAGCTGGCCTTTGCTGTAAACGTTAGAAAGAAAAATGTTGCACAGTTACGCTAACACAGCAGTTAGAGTATCAAGCATGAAAAAAGAGGAATCATCTACCACAAGTTGCATAAGAAGTTACTGGCATTGAGCTAGTTTAAATGGAAAAAAAACAAAAACAAAATTCCATCTAAAAAATGTATTGCATTACCAGTAGAAGATTTTATCATACTGGGAATCAAAGGTCTTCGCAGTGGCTCATCTACGCTGAATGGAGAAGAGAAATCTGAGCCTCCCAGGCCCTCTGAGCTGACATGGATAGACCCATCACTCAGAGTACAGTCACTATTAGAAAGAAAAAAGTTACTTACAATTGAAGGAATTAATTAATTCATCATCAGTGTTACACGCTGGTAATCATACTCTCTCAGCAGAAGTCTGTTGGCCCTTTCTTGTAGGTGTAGTATCTCTGTGTCTTCGAATTCACCTAGGGAGGTATCCGACAGAATCTGAAATACAAAAAGGAATAGGCAGAACACTCAATAAGCCACAATTTTACTCTTGATATTTGAATATAAAGAACACAGAATACTGTAGAATTTAATAAAACTAGATCATTAAATTTGCATTTGCCTAAAAAAACACAACCTTACATAACAAATATACTGAGGTTCTATTATTATTTTGTGCGGCTGATACATTTGACAGGAGCAGGGTGAACAAGCCATAAATGTATCAAACATGGCTGTAAAAACGATGGCTTCCCAGGCATTTAGTAAACAGAGAGGTTTCCAAATGGACATGTGGTGTGCTGTTGAAATGTAAATATTTATATGCGCACTTAGTCGGAATAGGGTGTCTCTCCTACAGACCGTTTCCTGGGCAGTCAGACAAACCTAGCGTAAACCAGGGCAGGGTGCAGATCGAATACTGTTATAACAGCTTACACAAAGACTGAAAACAAGATGGAGTAGTATCTAGAATCTTTTGCTTTTTGAGAAAGAAGAATATATATATATATATATATATATATACACACATATATGTAATATAGATTTTGAGGTAAGTTTGTGCTGCCAACAACACACGTATTATGTGTATTTAGAGTAGAGAAAGATAAAACAGGCTCAGTCCCAGTAAACTCAAGAACACACACACTAAGAGATCCTCTGCATGGGGAGAGGCATCTGTCACGTCGACGCTGTCCAGCTGGACTGAAAATGGCAGATCCATGGTCATCTTTCAGAGGCTGGACAGCATCTGTTCAGAGAAAAGGGATTCCACAGAAGGATTTCACCTGAAGGTTTGCTTTGTACGTGGAAATGTAAGAGCTGGCAACAGTTAATAACTATTACATTAAAAACTGTAAGCTTGCAAATAAGTGAGACCGCACCATTGTCTGTTGTTTTAGTTGGTGTTGAACTGGGGGGTAAAGATGATGTTGACAGCCACCAAAAAGGCAGCTGCTTCTCTCCAACAGCAGAATCAGTTTGCTGGCGCTCCTCTCGACTCTGCGGTTGACCATGGCGAAAGCGGTCAATGTACCTGGGAGAACAAAGGTCAGTGCTGGTTTCTATCTTCTTCACGTCACAGTTACGTTGTCATGTTAAGTCATTTCTTACATATTAGAACTTGAAAAGGATCAAGGTTTTTTAAGAGGACAACGTGGAGTACAGGCACTGTTATGTTTGAGGGTATGGTTGAAACAAAAGCATACTTTGCCAGCACTGAATCCTGCTGAACTCCTAGCTCTGATGAAACTGTGGAATTTCCTGTTCTCTCCGACTGTTTGGGCATTTCCATGTAAGATGAGGTTGTAGTGCTGGCAGAAGAAGATTCACAGTCAGTGGAGGGCCAGGACTCTTCAAAAACAAGTTGCCCATCCGTGGCGTCATACTTCTCAAACCGCTGTTGGCTCTCCGGGCTGTGTAACTGAGGACTTGCTCGCTGGTTTGAACGTACAGGACTCAAAGTCTGCAAAAGAACAAAAAAGTGATCGACATGTTTGTGATTATAATGAGAATCAGATGTATCTTGCAGTGTTAAATTTACTTACCGTTTTTTTGTCTTTCTTTGCCAGGGACTGGTTGCGGGATGGGTGGTAGTGTGCCTTCCCCACCCTGGGTGCTGGCTTGAAGGGATTCTGCCTTGTGAACACAGGTCCACTGTAAAAACAACACTTTTGTTATGACCAAATGTAACTATTGCTTGGGGTAATATAAAAATGTGACCTTTAGATCTTACCTGGATTTCATTACAGCTATAGGACGTCACAGGTGATTCATAATAGGACAGGATGCACAGTAGAAGTTGCTTCAGTGTGGGTCTGATTGGTCCAAACTGAGTCTGACTGACTGGGTCACTTGGGTCTTACTGTAATAAAAGTAACTTACTAGAAGACCACATTATCCAACGGCCTTCCGAGCTGACTTGGCATGTCCACAAAAGAAAGTTACCATGGAATCAAACGCTAGTACGACACAACTATGTCCATAAGATAGCAAATTGAGTTTCTACAGGGAGGATTTTGAAGATCTGTTCATCCAACAAGTCAAACATTTAAACTGGAAATATAATTACTTTGCTCTTTCTCACAAATGTAACATTATCGGTGAAACCAGAAGAAAGCGTCAGTTTATGTCGATCGTTATTTACTTCCAGACATACAGCCAATAGGCACCGAGTATAATATGATGGACATACAAGTTATCCAATCACGTACAATGTCCTCGTTGCACACGCGCCAATCAGTTACTAGGAAACCGGCAGCGCGCGGAAGAGGAACGTCTGCAAGGGCTATTCGTTGGTTAAAAACTACGTTAGCAACGGTAATTTGAGCTAGTAAATGCTACGGTCCGGTATAAGAATAATAAAACGGCTTGTCTCCAGTAGATTGTATTTACAGAGAATGTGTGAAAACCGATAGGGGTAACTGTTAGTTAGCTATTCGTTATAATAGGTAAACTAACGTTAGCTTCAACGTTATTCAATGGTTACTGCTAACGCAGAAGGTGGCTAGCGTTAGCTGATATTAAACGGTCTTAAACCGCAGCTAGTTAGCCAACTAGCTAACGTTTACCTTAGCAGGCGTCCTGCAGGAGACCTACGTTAGTATTGTTTTGTAATATCAGTCTCAAGTCGTTATGAACTTAGAGAGACCATTTCTCTAAGTTGCATTTCGGTTACCGACAGTGAACGTGTGGTTGTATCATTCGGTGTTTTTCCCAATTAGAAATAATATATACAAAAGTGGAGATAATGCATCACGTCAAGATCAAGACTGAAAGGCCAGGTGAGAGGTTGCTCCCTTAACATTCTCACGAACACATCTTCTAACCCACAATATCATTTTTTTTAAAAGTCATTCTTGCTTAACCTATTGCTTTTTTGGCATTATAGTCACTACTCAAATTCAGTAATGAAATATGAGAATGTCACTTAACGTTACATGTATTATGAAGTCTAGTTGGTGATTGTTGTTTCTGTAAAGCACCCACTGTTTACTATTTACTATTCTGCAGATTTAGAGGGGACTGGTGCACGCAGCAGATTGGATGCTGTGTTGAAGGGACTGGTAGAGAGGACTGAAAATGAAAGGTCAGTGAGATTATAACACTTATCTTAAATTTGTGTTGACTTTCCAGTCAAACTAATATTGTATTTTGAACAGGGAGCAAAATGAGGGTGATACTGGAAAAATATCAGCGGACTCTTTAAGCAAGTATGTATCAGTGATTTGGATTTGAAATGTGTTTGTTGTTATTATGTTATTATTTATTATTTGAACATTAAATATGAAGTGTAAAAACTTGATTATTTTTCATGTTCCACTTGCTATTTCTAGGGATTTGTCTCCATCATCTGCTGGAAAAAGGCAAGTGTCTATTTTTTGACAAGCGCTCACAGACTCAAAAACATATACATAACATTTGTCTACAGTTGTGGCTGGAAAAAAACTGGTTCTACCCTGTCAATGGTTTTATAATAATAATGGTTTTTGTCATTTCACACCATAATAGATTTGAAAAGCAGTAACTTTAGTACAATTTCTCTGCCTATTTTAAAGTCCCCATTCTTGTTTTTTTTCCAGGCCATCAGCTCGATTTTCACAGCACCGGAGGAAGAAGCGAAAAGAGATGGATGAAGGAATGCAAGAGAGCAATCATCATAAACAAAGTAAACTTAATGCAAACACTAAACACAATACAGTAAAACAAATGACATTGTAGTATTTGTCCTTTTTGCCCTCCAGTTACTGTGTCATCACTTTGCCCTACATCATTGTAGAATTTCTTACCATTTATCTTGCCATTTTCTGTTTTTCTCAATTTTCTAGATTCTTACATTATTAAGTTGTTTGATCGCAGTGTGGATCTGGCTCAGTTCAACACCAGCACCCCACTGTATCCTATCTGTCGTGCCTGGATGAGAAACAATCCTTCTGTTAGAGAGCCAGCTGCTTCCCCAAGCCCCTCACACAGCCTGGTAGAGGAAGAGGTGAGACCCTACAGTTATGTTGGGTAACTTCAATTTTATTTAAAATAGGCAACATTACAAAAAATTCCAAAATAAATTCTGTACGGCTGTAAAGTTATACTTCACTGTCTCACTGTGTGGAACAGTGTGAAACACTGTATCACTGTACCACTGTACACTGTGATTTAAAATGTGTGTTCCTTTGCAGAGCAGGAATGCTAGTATTAAAAGTAACTACTATAAAAATAATACAGCAAACAGTATTGAATCAAACTTTGCTGTAATACTATTTATTGAGCTTCTATGACACTATTTCTCTGATTTGATCAAACCTCATGAACACTGAACCGTCAGTAAAGTCAATATAAAATACGCTTAAAAACACCATAAGTACGAGCAGGTTGGTTGTTACAGAACTCAGGAAATTTGACTGGGAATTGATTAAAATAAAAATCGAAAAATGTTTGTATGACAAATCCTGTTGTTGATGGGCTATGGCACAGTTACATTGGGTTTTTACAAGCCACAAGCATCACTCTGCCTCTGTCTACCCAGCATTAGGGCACTCCCTTGTGGCTAAGCAATATAAAACTGCTAATGAAGACAGGAACATTGTGGCACATTAATCAGTCTGAAAGTGATGGTCTTTGCAGGAATGAACCCCTATTGCAGTGGGTGGTGACTGTAGTCAGCTTGGATTTAAAGTGGATACAGTCAATGCAGTATATTCACGTATAACTCTCTTTAGCCTGTGCAAAAGCATGCATGTTTGTTGTTTGAGAAAAGACTAGTTGCTTTTGAGTATTTTAATTGTAGTTCTTCAATGCTTTGAGCACCACAATCAAAATCATATCCTCATCTTTGGAGAAGGGCAGTTGTAATTGTCTCAGCAGTAGTTAATCTCCAAATCCCTGCAAATAAAACTGATACTAGCATGACTAAACAAGACCAGTGGTACGTTTTTTGTGTTTAGATTTTTAAATTTAAAAGTTTAAATACCTAAACTTAAAACTTTATCATTAGTATTTTATGTAATTTTGCATGAAACAGTTAATAGTCAGCCAGTCATATGGCTTGACCCCAAAAAAATTCTAACAAAAGGTTTCTCATTGGTTTACAGTAGTATCAGATGTATTTAAAAACATACTAAAAGTTTACCAAAGTTTGACTCCAAGAAAGGCCCCATTTTCAAAAACTCCTTTGTATTCCTCCTAGACCAGGAATACTGGTGCCTGATGCATGTTTTGGCCATTTAATATTCTAATTAGCATATTTGCATGATAGATAAGGGATTACAAGTACAATAATATATTAAAAATAAGTACAATTTCCCTTAAGTAATTGCATATTTCTCCGTTTTGCCTAGTGTTAGTGTTTCTGTGGTTCATAACCATTCTTTTGAGAAAGAATAAATTGATTAGAACTGTGTGATACTGTAAAAGTAGTCAAAACAGGTCTGCCACATGAAGGCTCAGTACCCCTTTTAGTAGTCCCTTTTTATTTTTTTGTGTTTTATTTTTTTATATATTTTTTTATATTTTTATAATGCATTTTGGTTTTTTTGCCTTTTGTTTTTTGTATTTTTTTAATACTTTTGTTATTTATACATATCTTTTTCTATTTTCTTCAGTTGTTTCCACTTATTCTGGTTTATTTTTTATACTTTTTTGCAGTTTTGTTAGATTTGTTGCTTGAGAACTCAGTGACTGCCTGCACTAGTTGGCTTTACGGATGATTTCCTTGCCTTTGAACAGGGCTGCAGGAAATGAGCAGAGCTCATGGTTCATTACATCTTCCAGTGAAAACTGTCCAGTTTTTGATATGATCAGGAAACGTTGGAACAGCAAAACGGGATCAATGGTTCGGTCTTGGGCAACTTTGATGGTGCAGTCATCTGCAAGGGTTTTGTTTGAGCAAAATGGTATACACTGTGCTGCCAACAACATTTCAACGAGGCAAGCAATATCAGTTTTCTCTTCCACCATCTTCTGAATTGCTGAAAAATTGTGAATTTAGTTTTGTTGGGTTTAGTATAATGTCACTTTTATACTCAAAAACACCTATAGAGGATGCATTACATGTGTATTACCTTATTCAAAGTCGTTTATGATCAAAAGTTATACAACTCCAATTTAAGTGGTTCACCCCAAACAAAGATAAAACCTTACAGTAATCTCACAAAACCATGTATTCCATTAGTATGTAATCTTGTCAGTGCAATTTAGACAAGTCCAATGGATTCATAGACCCAGAAAACATGGGGTTAGACACCAAGATTACTTGGCTAGGTCAAATAATGAAGGAGTTCTTCATCTTGAAAATTACACTTTTCTAGTGGTCAAACTTTGGTAAACTTTTAGTATGTTAAGGACACCTAATATTACAAAAAACAGCTGAGAAACCTTTTGTTACAATTTTTTTAGGGTTAGGTGTTTTTTTTCATATATGCAGCCGCCTATAAATGAACTTTTAAAGAAAGTATTTTTGAGAGTACTTATAGTACTTAACTAGAAAGTATTAAGAATTTCTTATCCCTAAAGATGACATTATGCCAGTCAGACATCATAATGCCAGTAATGATTCCTTTTTCCAAATGTCTTTCTTTTGCCAGGTTACAGACATGATCAATGGTAAAGGTCAGAATGTGTACAGACTTGCTCCTCCAACCTCCTGTCCAATCAGTCCATCTGGTGAACCCATCAATCTCAGGATCCCACTGACTGAAAAACCCACTGTTACCAAGGTTCTGTATAATGTGTGCACGGGAATTTTCAGTGTTTTACTTGCATAGCAATATTAAGTGGCACACATTATTACATTATGATATTAAACTCATTAGTTATTAAGTCAACCAATGAACTATAACTAACTATATCTGAACATGTTCTCTTTCCACAGTTAACAGATTCAGCTCCTGTATCCAGTTCTCTCTTATGCGACCACATGGAACGTTGGAAAAAGATACGGCAAAAGTACGTTCCTCATGAAAAGCAACTTGTTCTTTTGTTGAAAATAACAATTCACATGTTCCTGCTGTGCACAACCTACATTCAGATCAAGGTTTCACCCACAGTTGTTGTGTGTCATTTGTTGCTTAGTGGGACAGTTCACCCCAAAATCTAAAATGCAAATTTTTCCTGTTACATGTAGTGCCATTTATCCATCTAGATTGTTTTGGTGTGAGTTGCTGCGTTTTGGAGATATCAGCTATAGAGATGTCTGCATCTCTTTAGTATAATGGAACGAGATAGCACTCGGCTTGTGGTGTTCAAAGCGCTGATTTGAAAAACTCAACGTCTCTTTCCAGAAATCATGACCCGCTTACTCAAACGACGTAACAGTTTCATGTAGTAACTATTTTTCTTCTTAACTATTTCTATCGAACTACACCTGGCAACTATTGCTGAACGCTGGCAAAAAACAAACTTAACAAAATTAGGCTTGTCGTACAACTCTTCTCAAATACACCATGCTTTATCCCCCAAATGTGTCTGCATTCTGGAAAAGATTGGATAAGAAATGAACTGAAGTCTGGTCATAATGTACAGTTTATGTAATGTATGTATGTGTATGTTTAAACGCTTGATTTCTTAAAAAAAAATAAAACACTAAAACTGAGTCGAACTGACCCATATTTGGGTTTTTTTCCAGATGGAAGGAGTGCTCTAACAAGAACCAGTTAAGGTACAGCGAGAGTATCAAGGTCCTCAAGGAGATGAAGGAGCTCTATGATCACTAACTGGCTTGTAGCTCTCCACCACAGAATGGACTCGATGCTTTTGGAAAGGAGCCATGGCATACACCTGTCATCTGCACAGACACATAAGCAGAAGCATGAACAGAACATTGAGCCTTGAATAGACCATGTATCCTATGCATTGCAGAAAAAAAAGGATGTGAGGATGTTTCAGTTTGTTGCAGTTTATGTGCGTTGTGTGGGACTTTTTATTCATAAAAAAATCTTTGTAGACTTCTGAATTAGTTAATTTGCTCATCAGTAGTGTTTTTCCAGAAGCACTGTGACTTGTGTAAGATCAATAATATTAAAGTTGATTCAAGTTCATTGTGTTCTCTCCCACTTTCATTTGTGTCCTTTACAACACATAAGTATTGAAACCAAACACAGCAGCTAAAGAAGAAACAGTAACCTCCAAATTCTATTTGATATACAGCATGACTCAATTCTTTTGACTACTGGTAGCTTGTTGGTTCTTTTATCAACTATCCAAGCCAGAGGTGAAGCCCCAATAGTGGTAAATGTAACCGATTACATTTCTTATTCTAAAGTGTCGTTTAATGAACACATCCTTAAACACATGTTCTCTGTTGCAGTGGTTGAATGTAACTAAGTACATTACTCAAGTACTGTACGTGCAAATTAGAGGTATCTGAATTTAATTTAACTTTATACTTATATTTCTCCTCATTTCAGAGGTGAATATTGATAAACGGAGTTTCTTTAGGGTTGAGAAAAATCTCTCACTCCTTAAGCTGAATAAACTATTGGTTCTCTTGGATAAGCTGGGAGAGCATTGTTGCCAAGCTTAAAACCGTTGTGATGAAGGTCTTTTATTCATTCATTCATTCATCTTCATCCGCTTATCCGGGGTCGGGTCGCGGGGGTAGCAAGTTCAGCAGAGGACCCCAAACTTCCCTTTCCCTGGCCACATCGGCCAACTCTGACTCAGGGATCCCGATGCGTTCCCAGGCCAGTGTTGAGATATGGTCTCTCCAGCTGGTCCTCGGTCTGCCCTGTGGCCTCCTCCCAGCTGGACGTGTCAGGAACACCTCCCTCGGGAGGTGCCCTGGAGGCATCCTCATCAGATGCCCGAACCATCTAAACTGGCTTCTTTCTACGCAAAGGAGAAGCGGCTCTACTCAGAGTCCCTCCCGGATGGCCGAGCTTCTCACCCTATCCCTGAGGCAAACCCATTTCGGCCGGTCTTTTAGAATATGATTAATTCCACTCCAAAAATATATGAAAGAAGTTCAAAATTAGCTAAATCTTAAATATCTACAACAGTAAAGTGCAACATACACATTAAAGCAGTTATATTAACATATTAACTATTACAACTTGTCAGTTTAAAGGGTTTTTTTTTTTTACTTTGATAGAGTAAGTGTTTTGTTAGATAAATTATGTGCTTTGACTAACTGCCAAAACCAAAGTTGTATTTGCATTCTTATTTGCTTCTTTCAACAAATTTGTGGTGTGCTTTCAGTCATTGGAGTGGTTTGAATAAGTTAGTATGTTCCATATTGCAAACACAAGGTCAAGCATTGTGGTGTCGATAGTCGAAGATAAAACACCACCTAGGGAGAAGTGTGTGCTTGTGTTTGTCCCATTAGAAAAAATTGAACAGCTCATCAACAAGTTTTTGTTCTCTGTATTAAAATGCACAGTTATAAAAGTTCATTCTTATGTGTGACAGTGTCATAGATGCTGATAACTATAGGTAAATGAATAGGCATCAAAAGCTTACAAACATCAACATAAAACTGATTTCTCTATCAAAATGAATCATAGGCAAGTCTTGAAGGTTACAGTTAGAAGATACAAAATAATTCACTTTAAGTGTTTTACATTCATGATTACACAAAGAACAAGCTGAAGCTGAAGCACACCCTCACAGGTGTTTTCATTTATTCTGGCTGATAAGACCCAGAAACACATTGGGAGATGTGTGATGTCGTCAAACTATTATGCAAGTCATAACAGGTGCAACATAAGTAACAGGAGGGATGTCTTAAAAGCCATTTGTAAGTGAAAACACTAGTTAGTGAGTAGGCGCTTTAACATTTAAAGAATTACACACAGTGAATATTCTACTCATTTTCTAAGGATATATGTAAGTACTATTTGAATCAACTGAACATGTGATCTTCAGTTCACTGTACTATTATATACTATATCACAAGTATGGATTCAATCAGTGCTCAGTGTCTCTCTCTCTCTCTCTCTCTCTCTCTCTCTCTCTCTCTCTCTCTCTCTCCCCTCAGTGATGACCACTTTGCTTTCTGTGGAGTTTAAGGAAGTGGTTACGGAGGTCAGATTAAGTGCACACCGCGTCATTCTCATCGGTAAAGACCGCTTTGCATTCCATGAAGGTTAAGGAAGTGGATGTGCCTTTCCTCTCCAAAGGTGCAACAGACTCAGATTTTCGGGAAGACTTGGAAAAGTGTGAGGACAGGGAGCGAGAGGACATGAATGACAAGTGGTCCTCTGCCAGAGCACTTTCCAGGACGAAGCATATGGACTGCTTGAGCTTCTTCTGGAATTCATCACACATGAAAACGTAGAGAATGGGGTTCAGGCAGCTGTTCATAAAGGCCAGACATACAGTCAGAGGAGCTCCAATCATAACAAAATTGTTGGAATTTCCATGACTTTTAACCTTAAATTCTATGAACTGCATAACATGGAAGGGAAACCAGCAGATAAGGAATGCAAGAACGATAGAGAAAATGATTCTGCGAGGTCTCTTTTTCCTGCTCCTCTGCAGGCGCCCTGCGCGAACACCTATGGCCACATACGAGACAAATATTACCAGGAATGGGAGGAGGAAGCCCATAACAAAGCGAAATAACAACAAAGACAATTGTTTTTCACGTGTCAAGGATTCAGAATAAATACAGTTACTTGTGTCATCACTCGTATACAGTTCACGGAAAGTGGCAAAAGGGGCGCTGCAGGCTACAGCAGCAACCCAGATGACTGCACATATAATCTGAGCTTTGCAAACGGTGCGCTTGTTTTGTGCCCACACCACCACGCATATTGCCAGGCAACGATCCAGACTTATGGCTGTCAGAAGAAAGATACTGGCAAACATGTTGACTACAGTCACTAAAGTGTTGAGCTTGCACATAAAAAGTCCAAAAGGCCAGTGGTGATGGTGGTAGTAAGAAACAGTTGTGAAAATCAGGAAGGTTGTAAAGAGGAAGTCAGCCAGGGCCAAGTTGAGAAACCAAACTGAGTTGACTGTTCTCTTCATCCTGAAGCCTGTCACGTAGATGACCAGACCGTTGCCCAGAATCCCAACGGCAGATATTATACAGTAGATGACAAGGGAGGCTAACTGGATGCTTTTGTAAACATCCATCCCATCTGTTGTATCTGCAGTGGATATGTTACCTAAATAAAACAAGCAATAATACAGACATGAGAAACTTTCACACATTCTGCAATACAAGAAAGAAAACAGAATTTTATTACTTTCATAATGTTTATAATCAGATTTTAACTAACTGTATTATGAGTTTGTGGTTTTTATCATAATATTTTAGGGTTTAAATTCCTGACCTGGCACATGGTTTATGCCATTTCCCGACACTGAGGTTGCCACGCCTTCTTGATTTTAAGGGGTGTAAGGAAACTTAATAATAAAATATACAGTAGGCCTATGTTTCAGTATTTGGTTCATTTATCTGAAGAAAACTAAGATGAACATATGCTATATTCACAGAGCCTTCACACTCTGATGAACAACCCTGTTTTGCATTAGAAAAGTTTGCAGTTAAAACAACCCAAAAGCTAATAGAACGATGGCCAAGTGTCAGGGAGAAGAAAACACTGAATTTTTCAAACAGAAGGCTATTAAGTATGTAGGAAAGATTGACAGACAATGTTATAAAAAGGAACTAAAAATATCAGGAAAACATCTGCAATATTTACAAGAATTAATTTGCTCAAAATTCATCCAAATTGCTCATTTTACACAGACTTCCTACAGTTATTGCATTCACTATATGTCTCAGTGGTGCAGTTTATCAGTTGTGCTGTACTGTTATTGTAATGCACTTAATATAATACATGAAATATTCATAATACAAGTCACTTAGTCAGTTTACTCAATGGTTGGTAACCACTGGTCTATGCCACATTGGCCCCCACTATAGTACAAGATTGATGAGATGAAGTAGTCACAGGATACTTTGTACTAAATTGCAAAATAGATAGATATAAATAGATATTCCACAAATTTCACTCAATTTCTGTTATGATCAGAAAATATTACCTTTTCACTAAAAAAAGGGTTTATGCATACCTATTTTAGATCAGTTTAGCAAGAAACTATGGTAGACCATTTTTCTGTCAATGCAGTTTCAAAGCAATGCAATTATATATTTAAAGTATCTTACCGGTGCTCATTTTTCTGCTGTGCCAAGTGTCTAAGCTGATCTCTATTTTGTTCTGCCTTTTCTCATTCTCTCTCTCCAATTACTCCTCCTTCTCAGTTCATGCAGCTGCCAATGAGACAGTGCTTTTCCTGCTACCATGGCTTTTCAACAAGACATTAAGACATACACAGGGAATTGAAAATAACAGGAAGATAATGCAATGCAGCAAAATCGGAAAAAAAAAAAAAAAAAAATTCTGAAAACCAGCACTAGTGTTTTTAGGAGTTATATTTTATACATGATTTCTCACAAATTCACCAAACAGCAGCACAGTCAGCAGAAATAGTAACATCCTTGTGACAGCTAATATTGATGCAGTATAGAATTACATCTCATTTATCACAGTGAGCAGCAGGATGATGAAGTGTTGGGAAAACATGCAAGCACGTGCATACTGCAGACTTTGTGTGTGTTTGCGCATTAGTTGTAAGCAACAGTCTGGTCGATCCATCTGCGCAGGTAGGACACACGGGCATACACGGCGGGGGCCCGCACGTTGCAGTTAGAGGTGCCCCAGGAAACAATACCCACAAGGGACCACACTCCACTGTTCTCGCAGACCAGAGGGCCACCAGAGTCACCCTGAAATGAGACAAATATGTGTTTCTAATTGAATTTTAAGAGCATGCCTGGGGTAATAGAATAGAATAAAAGCTCTTCATATTGCTCGATACTGATGCACCCAGGGGACTTCATGTCCTGTACAGCTTCACACAGGATGTGGGTTGACCTGCCATTAGTTTGCAATGAATTAAATAACAGGAAAAGCTCTTTTCAGTACGGTAATGCTTCCATTATCAGATCATTTACAACCCATAACTAAAGTGATCAGATGCGCTTGCAATATCTGTAAATGTCTCAGTCAATAAAGACTGCTTTTCTGTATTCTACAAATATCGAATTATCCATTATCAGTTTCCATATTATGTGTATATTATTTAAAAATGTAAGTAATTATTCATTTACAGGTGATTTTTTATTATTATCTGTTACATTATCATGTTCACTCCATTAACAGTTATTTAATCAATTGTTATCAAGAAATTATCAGTTCGAAATATCTGTAAATTGTTGGTTAATCATGAACTAATTCTTATATCCACATGTCAACAAATCATTTGTCATTTGTGAATGTTAAGCACATTATCAGTTCATAGCAAACAATTGGTTTCTAACTGACTTGAAGCTTATTGTATCTGTATTTCAGGCTTTGAAATGGTTGTTACCTGACAGGAGGACACTCCAGAAGCACCAGCACAGATCATGGCATCAGTGATTCTGTTCTGACCCCAGTACTGCCTGCACTGAGCAGGGCTGAGCATAGGCAGAGCCGTCTGCTGAAGGTAGCGGGGGCTTGCTGAGAACAGAGAAGAAATGGAGATGAGGCTAGCTGCACAAATCCATCTTTTCTAAGGGAGGTATGGTGGATATTTAGCAGCAATTTGAGCTGCTCTTTGTGAGTTTATTTCTGGTTGTTAAGTTACCCTGCATGTGAGACTTAGAAAGCAGTCGCCCACTCACAGGTTTGGCCGGTTTTTCCCCACCCAGTTGTGACACATTTGGCCCCAGAGGGGATGCTGGTGCTGGAGGAAGCCAGGCACACGGGAGACACACGGGAAGTCAACTGCACTGGGGAAGACAGCTTCAGAAGGGTGATGTCATTGTTGAAGTTCTGGGAGTTGTAGTAAGGGTGACTGATGGCCTGGATAGAGAGGTGAGCATAAATCATAAATATAATTCCATTCTACCCAGGAGATGACTACTTATGGTAAAAGATTACATTTGTATAAAGTAAATAAAGTGTTCATGTGTTATGTTGTTCCTTACCCTGGCAATTGACTTGACCTGAATTTGCTCACTATTGGACTGACGATCATGTTCTCCCAGGATAACACGGTGGCTTCTAGGACTGAAGAGAATAAAAGCAGACGGAGGAGTGATTACAGAGATGGTAAAGTTGGGATTTTTCTCATTTGGATGTGGGACACATCAAAATTACTTACGACACACGGCAGTGAGCAGCAGTGACAACCCAGTTCTGGCTGATCAGGGATCCTCCACAGAAATGGAACCCCCTACCATCCTAGAAGTGAGAAATTGTAATAATGTGGGGTTTTTTTTCATCTAAATTAAAGGGTTGAGATTGTAGCCAAACTGCAGTGGGTATAGATACATAGGCTACCTGAAGTGAAACCTGCCAGGGCCAGGACCCAGGCACAGCGTTCTGCCCATTTACAATCTTGTTGTATCCGCTCACTTGAGGTCTGATAGCAGGTACTCCACACCCTGAGGCACAAGCACACAGTTGAAGTCATCTGCTTGTCATACAACAATTGTATGCATGTGGAGGCAGCCACAAAATAAGAATGATACAACTGCAACCACACCATCACAGAAATACTTTCCTTCAGATAAATCTATCATTTGCACGTAACTTGCTAGTCACTCACCCAGTGAAGAGGCCACAAGAGCAAAACAACTGAAAAGCAAGAACATGGCCATGTCTCAATCGTGACTGACTTCTCTAAGTCTCAGCTGTGGGCGACACTGGCTTTTATATGTGTATCACGCACATTTGACCCTGAGTTCCATGTGCAGGACTCTATACCCCCCATCAGACACACACCAATGCCTGTGATAGCTCTGGGAAGAGAACATCTGGTGATAAGCACATTCATCCACACAGTCTTATGCTTCTGTTTGTCCTGTTCTTGTGCACATAGGTCATGACTTTTAGCAAACATGTTGTTGCGTAATTAGTCCACTGGTAAGTAGCAACCACCTTTATGTTAAGCTGTATATGCCCTTGCCTGCATCTCATAAGATTTCCTGTGAATAACCACAGCTAAACTACAGGAAGAAGATGTCAATCAATCTGCTTACAAGAATCTGAAGTTTCAACAGCAGCAAGTTGAGGCGTCCCAGTTCATACCTATCATATGTACTAATAAATATACTGCTTAAGAGCATTTTAGAAATGTAAAGGTATTAAAAGATATAAATCACAAGAAACACACAGTGAATTTTGCAATTCAGAATCCCATTGGTGATCTTTATTGGTTTAATGTTTAGAAATCACAGATAAAAAGAGATACCTTTTTACCCTTCATGCAAATCATCACTGGAGAGATAAATAATGAAGACAACCAATAGACACTGATGTCTTATGTGACTGGATATTGTAACTGTGTGCAAGTGTAAGATTTAGTTGCAAAAAAAAAAAAAAAAAAAAATAAGCCTGTGTTCACTGGATATGTGAGTAAAGGGTAGTAATAAGTGTATGCTGGGATCTGAGATAAACTGTCAGTAGAGTGTTCAGTCAACCTCCTCGATAGTTGGGCCAGAGGAGGAGCCGCCTCCAGCTCCACCAGGGAAGCCACCAGGCATTCCTCCAGGCATTCCTCCAGGCATTCCTCCCGGCATACCCCCCTGGTATAGCTTAGAGATGATGGGGTTGCACACCTTCTCTAGTTCCTTCTGCTGGTGATCGTACTCATCCTTCTCTGCTGTCTGGGTTACAGAAGGAATGAAGAAGTTATTTCAAAAGGGAAGAGGGGAAATTGCTTCACATTGTTTACAAGATATGAACATACTATAGGAAACCACTCTGTCTTCACAATGTGAGCCAAAGCGGAACCTCTTTCATCACGATTCGTTCAGTCAATACATTTTTACCTGGTTTCTGTCCAGCCAGGCAATGACTTCGTTGCACTTGTCTACAATGGCCTTTTTGTCCTCAGGGCTGATCTTGTCTTGGAGCTTCTCATCTTCCACAGTGCTCTTCATGTTGAAGGCCAGAGACTCGAGAGAGTTCTTGGCTGTGACTTTTTCTCTCTGGGCCTCATCCTCAGCCTTGAACTGCTCTGCCTCCTGCACCATCTGCTCAATGTCCTCCTTGCTCAGTCGCCCTATGGGAATATGAAATACAAGGCTCATTACCTCCTGTGCAATATTTGTTTTCATTTATTCTCTCTGTTCATTCTTTCAGCTTTGTAATGCTCCTGAAGATTTAATGTGATTATCTACCTTTGTCATTGGTGATGGTGATCTTGTTTTCCTTTCCAGTGCTTTTGTCCACTGCAGATACATTCAGAATACCATTGGCATCAATGTCAAAGGTCACCTCAATCTGAGGAACACCTCTGGGAGCAGGTGGAATACCGGTCAGCTCAAACTTGCCCAGAATGTTATTGTCCTTGGTCATGGCTCTCTCACCCTCATAAACCTGAAAACAATTACTTAATTCAAATTCTGATGCCTCAGTGAATACTCTCAGGAGTAATTGCAATACACAGGGGCAATAACGAATGAACTGTTATTTGTCTGGAATTTTACTTTACTATGGTTGCGCTACCTGAATGAGCACACCAGGTTGGTTGTCTGAATAGGTAGTAAAGGTCTGGGTTTGCTTGGTGGGGATGGTGGTGTTCCTTTTGATAAGGACAGTCATTACTCCTCCAGCAGTCTCAATTCCCAGGGACAGGGGTGTGACATCCAGCAGCAGCAGGTCCTGTACATTCTCAGACTTGTCACCAGCCAAGATGGCTGCCTGCACAGCTGTGAACAAATGGTGAAACTAATGCCATGATGACAAGACAGCTTTCATATAAACCACTTGATCGTGACAGCTTTTATACTAAAATAGTAGTATGACTAGAAAACGAGGACAACATAAATAAAGATACCCACCTGCACCATAGGCCACAGCCTCATCAGGGTTGATGCTCTTGTTGAGGTCACGACCATTAAACAAGTCCTGCAGCAGCTTTTGAATCTTGGGGATACGTGTGGAGCCACCCACCAGGACAATATCATGAATCTGACTCTTGTCCATCTTGGCATCTCTCAGGGCCTTCTCCACAGGCTCGAGGGTTCCACGGAACAGGTCTGCATTGAGCTCTTCAAAACGGGCCCTGGTGATGGAAGTGTAGAAATCTACCCCTTCGTAGAGTGAATCGATCTCAATACTGGCCTGGGTGCTGCTGGAGAGGGTGCGCTTGGCACGCTCGCAGGCTGTGCGCAGACGACGCACAGCTCGCTTGTTGTTGTTGATTTCCTTTTTGAACTTGCGCTTGAACTCAGCAATGAAGTGGTTAACCATGCGGTTGTCAAAATCTTCACCACCCAAGTGAGTGTCACCGGCTGTGGACTTGACCTCAAAGATGCCATCTTCAATGGTCAAGATTGACACATCAAAAGTACCGCCTCCAAGGTCAAAGATAAGAACATTACGTTCACTGCCAACCTAAAATGAATGATAAGAATTAAAAATAGAAACATAAATCTGGTTACGGTTTGAATGGTATTATTATTATTTTATTAGTTAGTAACCTTTTTGTCCAGGCCATAAGCAATGGCTGCAGCAGTGGGCTCATTGATGATGCGCAGTACATTAAGCCCAGCGATGGCTCCAGCATCTTTGGTGGCTTGACGCTGAGAGTCATTGAAGTACGCAGGAACTGTGATAACTGCATTGTTCACTGGCTGTAAAAACAGTAGACCATGAGTCACTACGTAATTATCTGTCTTGTCAGCATGCTGCAAACATTAAAAACTGTTGTCAGAGGCCACAAGGCACTCATAGAAACATTTTCTCACAATTTATTTTGAGGCGAAGGAACTTAGTGTGATTACGAGGTGTTAGATTTTAGATACGGTTTTCCGTAAACAGGTGTAGATACTAAATACTGTTTCCTGACAGCTGCAGCTTGTCATAGCCATGCTTTTGACTGCATAAAACCAAACTACCCTATGTCCTTTCAAGCATAGTGTTATACACTAATAGTGATCTACCTTGCCAAGATAAGCCTCGGAGATCTCCTTCATCTTGGTGAGGACCATTGAGGAAATCTCCTCAGCGTAGAAGGTCTTGATCTCACCCTTGTATTCAACCTCCACCTTGGGTTTCGATGAGTCATTCACAACTTTGAAGGGCCAATACTTCATATCTGACTGCACCACAGCATCGTCAAACTTACGACCGATTAGACGCTTAGCATCTGAGGGAGATTTAAGAGACAAACAAGACACTGTAAGTTCACAGTGTGCAAGCTAAGTTTTCTTCTCAAAAAAATAACTTGTTAACATGGTGAGGAGACTGAAAATAATAATTTTGGATCACTGTTTCCGAGTCTGTTGTGTTTTTGGTGTTGCAATCCTCACCAAATACGGTGTTGGCTGGGTTCATGGCAACCTGGTTCTTTGCAGCATCTCCAATGAGTCTCTCAGTGTCTGTGAACGCCACGTAGCTGGGCGTGGTCCTGTTTCCCTGGTCATTGGCAATGATCTCCACTTTGCCATGCTGGAAGATGCCCACGCAGGAATACGTGGTGCCCAGATCAATGCCTACTGCTGGTCCTTTAGACATCTTAGATAGAAGAAAAAAGTTAAAAAGGTAAAAGAAACGTGTTAGTAACTGTGGCCTTTTTTTGGACAGTATTTCCAGATTAGTGCATGTATTCATCATCACTGAATTATTTTTATTCATTATGATGTTTATGATAGTAATAGTTTTGTACTTATAGAATGTGCATCTACCTGCATACTATGTACACCCACAACATTCTGTAGGCGTATTTATAAAGGTGTACCTTTCCCTTTTATCTACTTAAGCTGCATCTGGCATGGCCATGTGAGGCTTAGCTAGTGCTGGAGTTGCTTCCATGGAGCAGTGGCTCAAATCCTGTCCTGACACTTGAGATGAGAGAGTACGTCACACTACTCTTTAATTCTCTCTCCACACCACTTCTCTCTCCACTCCTCTCTCAGCAACATAAGACTAGAGTGTCTCGGTCAGGCTGGTGAAATGTTAAATACTGATCCTGTAATAGTGATCGGTGTGTCTATTTTCCAACAGCTGGCTCCAAATAGCTTACAGTTACTATAATAAGTATGAGCACATCCACATGGCAATGAATGGAAGGTGGCTAAAAATTAAGAGATTATTTATCAATGACTAGTGGGCAGGACTTGCCTGTCTCCTATTAAAAACCAAAAATACACACAGAAAACTACAGCTTTTAGGTGCAGTAACATATTTGATTAGTGAAGAACTCAACAAAAGCCTCTTGTTGCATGCAGCCGTAATCTGACAAACCCAGCAAAATGAGACAGGAAATAAAACTTTTTTAGAGGCAGAGGAAATCAAAAACACACAGCTAAATATTTCAATAAATAAAGCAAAAGCAAAAAACTGCCTTGATTAAAGTTTAAAGATTTTTAGATGATATTTTTTCATCTGTTTGCATAATGGGTGGAAGTAGAGACATTCTTCCTTCAATGTCCCAGAACTGCTTCAACTGACAGACTATTGAATTATCACTTGTTATCCAGTTGCGTAACACAGAGCAGAAAATGCTGACAGAGTTCTGTTGCTTCACTGCCTGTCCTACGCCCACATCTGAAACTTTCCATGTAATAACACGTTGGTCTGCTACATATAAACAACATGCTACATAAAGTGCTACATATATGAAGGAGGTCTGTATTAAATTCTGTCATAGCCATACTGTATAGTTAAGAAAAGCAGGCAAGATGACATTCAACTGACGCTGTTTTGATATGGAAAGGAATCATTAAAATCATCCA